AAAAAAAAAACCCCTTCTAACAGATGACAAACATTGCATGTTGCCAGTTACAGGTATTTTTTACTATTTAAAATAACTGTTTTCTATTTGAATATATTTTAAAATGTAATATATTCCCATGATTTCAAAGCTACATTTTTAGCATCATTACTCCAGTCACGTGATCCTTCAAAAATAATCATTCTAATATTCTGATTTGCAGCTAAAAAAACATTTATAATTATTATGATTATGATTATGATTATGATTATGATTATGCTTATGATTATGATTATTATTATGATTATGATTATGATTATTATTATTATGATGTTGAAAACAGCAGAGTAGGATTTTTTCAGGTTTCTTTGATGACTAGAAAGTTCAAAAGAACAGTATTTATCTGAAATACAAATCTTTTGTAACATTATAAATGTCTTTATCATCACTTTTGATCAATTTAAAGCATCCTCACTGAACAGTACTGACTCCAAGCGTTTGAATGGTAGAGTGTATAATGTTACAAAAGGTTCTTATTTCAGATAAATGCTGATCTTTGGATCTTTCTACTTTGCTATGCACTGCACATTTATACTGTGAATCATTTTTTATTGACAGTTGTTTTTCTAATTAGCATACGGGTTCTCTTTTTATTTTCCTTTCTCTTTCATCACTTTCTTTTTTTATGCTATTATTATTTATATGTTTACTTACTTTACTGTATATTCTATTTTTTTAAAATGTATTTTGTATATACGTACATATGACAATAAAGCTATTGAATCTTGAATCTTTCTATTCATCAAAGAATCCTGAAAAAATATTGATAATAATAATCAGAAATGTTTCTTGAGCAGCAAATCAGCATATTAGAATGATTTCTGAAGATCATGTGACACTGAAGACTGCAGTAATGATGCTGAAAATACAGCTGCGCATCACAGCAATATTTCAATATAATAAAGTAAAAATATTTCACAATATTACTGCTGTTATTGCTGAATTATGGATCTTTAAAATTATTCTTTAAAAAACATTAAAATCACAACTTTTGACTGGTAGTGTACATGTAAAATCATAAAAAAAGTGTTACTTGAAATAAAATAAACATTAACTGAAATAAAATAAAATATAAAAACTTGTATTTCAGCAACATTTCTCATTTTAATTTAGTTTAACTTGATGTGGTAAAATAGTTAAAAATAAAACTAAAACGAAACAAAAAAATAGAATAGGAATAGAAACCAAACTAGAAACTGATTAAAAATATTATGATAGGCCTACTAAAAGAACACTTGATTTGATTGGATTTATTCATAATGAAGGCGCATTCGTTCCTCCCTTCCTGAAGGGGCGCTGCGCTCCTCCTGCATTCACATGCCAACAGACTTAAAGTCGCACAGAAGAAGTCTTTAAACTGCCGCTGAGGAACCCACGAATATTATTTTCACGCATTTATTATTTTATTTAGTGAAATTAAATCATGGCGTCAACAAAAGAGCTTTTAGAGATGGATCTTTACGCTTTATTGGGGATTGAATCGACCGCAACAGAGAAACAGGTGCGTTAGTCTGAGAGCTGCATTCGGAAGCCGTTTCTGTCAACAATACAAATATTCATAATCCTGTATGAAAGCATACACAGTAACAATAAAATAAGAGTATAACTGTATCGTTTCTGTCACACGTGGAGGTTATAGAGGGAATGTTTAGTGTTCAGATTATGAGTACAAGAAACTGAAGTGTTTACGTGTCAGAACGTGTTTGAAATGAACAAGTTACTGATTAATTACTTTGTTTACTTTAGGTTATGTTCAATATTTTATTGTATCCTCTACCACAGGCGTATAAGGACATACTTTTGTGTATTTTATATGTTTTAAAGATGGTTTTAGACATTAAGACACTCATATGGCCTGTTTTCCTGATTGATTTCTGTAAGTAAACACAGATATTGAAGACAATAAGCTTTACAAGTAATATCGTCTGGAACGAGGATAAAGTTATTTTGAGTGTTAAATGTTTGAGGAGCTATTTGCCTCTTACAGTATACAGTATAGTAGTGGATGAGATCTAGTTTGTGACCAGTAGGTGGCGCTGCAGTTCAACAAATGACTGTCCTCAGAGTAGAGCAGTCCATCTGTTTGTTGTCATTGAAGAAATGTCCAGGTAAGAATAAGGGGGGCGGGGGGTGCCGTTGGGGGGGGCGGGCCGCCCCCCTAATATAATGGCAGGGGAAACATTTTTTTTATATATATATATATAAACTTTAAAGAAACTGTTCCATTAAAAAAATTTGAATTTTCTGACTATTATTTCATATGTCAGGCATCACAGGGTTAAAATAATCCCAGAAATCCCTGTGTTTTCTATGGCGTAACGCTGTCTGTGAGACATGATCAGTAAACCGCAGCTCAAACACACTGACTTTATCTAGACTCAGATCTATCTGCAGTTTGCATGTCGTCTCTAGTTGCACAGTCCACAATTTAATAAAACAACTGAGAATGGCTAGAAAAGTTGCATCAACTCAAGATATTAAAGACACTTGACGTTCCAGACGTTTGATGCGTGCGCTGGACAGAAGTCAGACGGCTGGTGGATGAACGCCATTCATGTCTGTAACCTAATAAACTCTTCATCAGGATTGAGCTGGAGGGTTTTTAAGCATCAGCTCCAGCTCTGACGGGCCAAACGTCCCTCTGGACTTTTACTTTTATTCATTAGCATCTATTCAAAGCCACAGCTGGAGGTTTTGTGCTCAGCGAATGATATTACAGCATCACAGTGAACACAGAAACCCTATTTTTTGATTAATAAAATGTAATTTAACCATTAAAAAGGAGTCCAGAGAAAAAAAAAAAAAACGGAATCTACCCCAAAAGCCATAAACCTAGGGGAAACACTGATATATATATATAAGGTTTGCATATTTAATTTTTGCTGAAAGTCATATTTGATACATCAGGCTTATATTGCTTGCAGTCATAATTTTGAGATAAAAAGGCCATAATTATGACAAGACAATTATAAGATAAAAAGTCAATTATACACTGTAATAATTTTTAGATTGAAAAAAAAATCTAAATTATGAGAAGTCAATTATGAGATGAAATTTAATTATGACACACCAAGCCATCATTTTGAGATAAAAAGTCATAATTATGAGATAAAAATCAAAATGATGAGGAAAAAAGTAAAAGATATGAGATAGAAAGTCATTATGACTATAAAAAAAATCAGTTTTTTTTTTTTTTTTAAATATATTTTTTTTAAATGGAACAGTTCATTGAAACTTTAGACCAAATATTTAAAAAATCTTTTTAAAAAGTTTGCATGTGTTTTTTAATGCGTGTCATATTTGATGCCTCAGGCTTATGGTTCATATAGTCTGATATAGTGAGCATATGGAGGAAAAACAGCTCAATTATATTGATATTTTCTTATATTCATATATATTTAGAGACTCAAACTGAGAAAACATATGCAATTTGGTGCAATATGCAATATTTATATGACATTCCGATGCTTGTAAAAATATTTTTTAACTTTATTTTATTCTTTTAAACTTTATTTATTTATTTACTTTATTTTTTCTTTATTTTATTCTTGTGAACTTTTATTTATTTATTTATTTATTATCCTTTTAATTTTTTTTGTTCTTTCCTTTATTTATTTATTTTTAATTTTAATGTTTATTTATTCCCACATGTATCATTTAGAGGTTATAAATTAATAATAGTTATAAATTATAAGATGGTGGCAATGGTATTGAGAATGATCACAAACTTGATCGCTATTGAATCTAATTTTCTTGAGGTCACAATTTACTGTAAACTGAACTCCATTGTGTAGCAATAAACTATTTAAATCATGGGCTCTGATTTATTAGGAAGTGTTTTTACGAGTCTGTCGCTGCATGTTGAACCCCGGCAGGCATCTTTTCTAGGGGTCGTGTTTTATGTGTGTTTTTCAGGGCCGATACCGATTATTACAGATCAAGTACCGATAACCGATATTTTGAACCGATATATATGTCTGGTGTAAAAATAAAAATTAATAGAGCAATTCCATGCAAATGTCAACCTTGCCATGAAAAAATAAAACCGATATTTTGAACCGATATATATGTCTGGTGTAAAAATAAAAATCAATATCAAAATTAAGAATAACAAGGGCTCTGACAAAAACTTTCTTTAAATGCTTTTAAATTATTTTATCGGCAAATCGGTTTTGAAAATGACCGATATCGATACCGATAACCATAAAAATGCTTGATATCGGCGCCGATAATCGGCCAGGACGATAATCGGTCGACCCCTAATCTTTTCATTAGTTTGCTTCATAATGAGTCTAAATTGCAAAAGATAGTGTTAATAAATGGGTTTAGAGAGCAGCTCGACACGTCAGTAGTGAGACCTGTTAATACAGACGGCAGAATCAACACATGCGACTGTATTTGTGTTGGCAGAAGCGAGCGAATCGTGTGAATCGGTGAGACGCTGTCAGGGCCGGTTTGAGTCTCTGTCAGCTGATAGACAGCGTCTAATGAGAAACACACCATTGTCAACCCGATGAGACGTGCGGTTCACATTCCCAAAGGCTCATGGGAGTTCATGGCACATAGACGTGTGCAGTCTGATGTTAATGTGTGCCGTGATTTAGAGGCGGATGATGCTGGGATTTCTGGGTTGCGGTGGATGTGACCGCAGTCTATTGTTATAAAACATCTCTGGTGCTTCAGGCCTTTTCCAGGAAAGCGTGAGCTCCTTGGAGTCTTGAGTTATGTCAAATGTTTTGTATAATAATTTTTTCTTGTGAAATAGCTGCAGCAGAAACAATCGAGAATTTGATAAATGCAAAGAATGGCATGGCGATATTATCAGGCCGGATGTTTGCGGTGATGCAACTGGATCTGATTCTTCTTTCTCCTCTTTTGCAGATCAAGAAAGCGTACCGACAGAAAGCGCTGTCCTGCCATCCTGATAAAAACCCCGATAATCCCAAAGCTGGTGAGCGATTGAGACGCCAGTCCATGAAGGCCCAAACCTGCTTAACTAACTAACTAACTAACTAAAGAAGTAAAGAATAGCAAAATAATTAAATAAATAATAAATAAAAAAATGGAAACAAATAAAGGAATATATTAGTTGATAATTAAATAATTTTTAATTAAATTCAGTCCTAAATTTATTTTTGTTTTTTTATTTTATTTTATTATTTTCTGTATTTATTTTAACTTCATTTTTATTATTTCTTTCTTTCTTTCCTTTATTTATTTTTGTAACCTTTTAATTCTTTCCTTCATTTTTTGTATTTTAACTTTATTTTTGCTCTTTTAAACCTTTAAAAACTTTTTATTCTTTCCACTTGTTTTCTGTTTATTTTTAACTTAATTTTATTCTTTTAAACGTTTTATTTATTTATTTATTTATTTGTCTAAACTCTCTTTCTTTCTTTCCAGTATTTATTTTTGTAACTTTTTAATTCTTTCCTTCATATTTTGTATTTTAACTTTATTTTTGCTCTTTTAAACCTTTAAAAACTTTTTATTCTTTCCACTTGTTTTCTGTTTATTTTATTCTTTTAAACATTTTATTTATTTTTTTATTTATTTGTCTAAACTCCCTTTCTTTCTTTCTTTTTTTCTTTCTTTCTTTCTTTCTTAAACCTTTAAAACTTTTTATTCTTTTAAACGTTTTATTTATTTATTTATTTGTCAAGTCTAATGAGAAACACACCATTGTCAACCCGATGAGACGTGCGGTTCACATTCCCAAAGGCTCATGGGAGTTCATGGCACATAGACGTGTGCAGTCTGATGTTAATGTGTGCCGTGATTTAGAGGCGGATGATGCTGGGATTTCTGGGTTGCGGTGGATGTGACCGCAGTCTATTGTTATAAAACATCTCTGGTGCTTCAGGCCTTTTCCAGGAAAGCGTGAGCTCCTTGGAGTCTTGAGTTATGTCAAATGTTTTGTATAATAATTTTTTCTTGTGAAATAGCTGCAGCAGAAACAATCGAGAATTTGATAAATGCAAAGAATGGCATGGCGATATTATCAGGCCGGATGTTTGCGGTGATGCAACTGGATCTGATTCTTCTTTCTCCTCTTTTGCAGATCAAGAAAGCGTACCGACAGAAAGCGCTGTCCTGCCATCCTGATAAAAACCCCGATAATCCCAAAGCTGGTGAGCGATTGAGACGCCAGTCCATGAAGGCCCAAACCTGCTTAACTAACTAACTAACTAACTAAAGAAGTAAAGAATAGCAAAATAATTAAATAAATAATAAATAAAAAAATGGAAACAAATAAAGGAATATATTAGTTGATAATTAAATAATTTTTAATTAAATTCAGTCCTAAATTTATTTTTGTTTTTTTATTTTATTTTATTATTTTCTGTATTTATTTTAACTTCATTTTTATTCTTTCTTTCTTTCTTTCCTGTATTTATTTTTGTAACTTTTTAATTCTTTCCTTCATTTTTTGTATTTTAACTTTATTTTTGCTCTTTTAAACCTTTAAAAACTTTTTATTCTTTCCACTTGTTTTCTGTTTATTTTATTCTTTTAAACATTTTATTTATTTTTTTATTTATTTGTCTAAACTCCCTTTCTTTCTTTCTTTTTTTCTTTCTTTCTTTCTTTCTTAAACCTTTAAAACTTTTTATTCTTTTAAACGTTTTATTTATTTATTTATTTGTCAACTTTCTTTCTTTCTTTCTTTCTTTCCTTTATTTATTTTTGTAACTTTTTAATTCTTTCCTTCATTTTTTGAATTTTAACTTTATTTTTGCTCTTTTAAACCTTTAAAAACTTTTTATTCTTTCCATTTGTTTTCTGTTTATTTTTAACTTTATTTTATTCTTTTAAACGTTTTATTCTTTTTATTTATTTATTTATCTATCTAAACTTTCTTTCTTTTCTTCTAAATGTTTTTTGTTCTTTCGTTTTATTTAATTATTTATTTATTCCCACATGTATTTTTCCATATTTAAATGCATATATTTATTTCAACATTTTTTAAATTTTTTTTATTTATTCTAACATTTCTGTCTCTTGTATTATAATCAGGTGGGCTGGACTGGCTTACCATGGTTTAATTGACGCATGCGCTTGTCTTGTTGACTTGACGCATATATGCTTTATTTTTTTCCTTAAAATTACAAATATTTATAATGGAATATTTATAATATTAATCAAGGTTTCATGCAACAGCTCTGTTTTTCATGATCATTTCCCCACTCTCTCTGATCCTGTGCTGTATGATTATCTATCATCTGTATACTTGCATAGATCAAGCTGTGGTTCTTCAGGGAGCTTCAAGTTACTTAACACTTAGTGTTGATATGTAAATGTAAACGGTCATAGGTTAATGAGTGTCTATGATGTCACATGATTTCTGAATCAGTTATTTTAGCAGGTTCAGCAAATGTATGTCTGCAAAGTGCACTGTACACTTGTTTGGAAAGATCAAGAAACATCCTGTTTTCCAGCATATGAGCCTTTAAGAGAAAACCAGTTACTTGTTGGCAGTAAATCATTATAACAGGGCACTAAATTTGGTTGTGAGTATAAGAGCGTGTCTCATGAAAGCCTGTCAAGAACATGATTAGATCATATTTCACTCCCAAATCACAAGAAATTATAGTTTGCAAAGGGTTATGTTTTCATGACAATTAAGTGCATTTAACTCCACCAAATTCTCCTCATTTTCAAATTCTCATTTCTATTACTGTATGGCAAAAGTTTAGAGTTTATATTAAGTATCGATTAAGTATTTATAATTCGTATTAATATTTTAAGTTCCGCCTTATAAAAAAAAAAAAAAATCAGTTTTAATAAAATAAATTAAAAAAGTATTTATTTATTTCTTCTTATTTTTATATTTTGTATTTTTATTATATATAATAAAATTATTATAATTATATTATTACAATTATTATAATATTATATTGAATAAAAATATAAATTGTGCTTATTTTAATAAAAAATATTTATTAAAATAATGAGAATCTATACTTCATACTAGTATTTTAAATTCTGCCTTATTTAAATTAAAACAATAATTTTAATAAAATGCAAAAATGTATTTATGTATTAAATTATACAGAAATATATTGTTGTTTTCATAGTTTTTATTATTTAGAAAATTATTCTAATTATATTATTCAAATTATTAAAATATTATTATATTTAATAAAATATAAATAGTGCTTATTTTAATTAAAAAAATACTTATTACAATAATGAGAATCTAATGTGAATCACTATAAATAAATGAGTATAACAAAAAAGAGAAAATGTATTCATGCATTACCGTAATAGCGAGGAGTTGCTTAATTGTCGTGAAAATAATGTTGCAATTCCATGAACACATTAACCTTCTTTTTGTTGCAAAATATCTCCTACAAAATGTTTCAGTTGATTTTGGAGGGACATTATTTTCATGAGAGGTCAAGCACAAAGCCAACAACATAAAGCCACTGTTGATCAGATATGGTTAAATTCATGGGTTAAACCAGTCAAAACTAAGCGGGCCAAGACAAGCACAGACTTCCAAACGGAGACCAAACAGTCCTGGCAGATACGAGGCAGCATGACATAAGACGAGACAGCACAAGCGCTCGGGGCTGCAGCATGTGGCTTCTCTTATACCCACCGTGACTCTGTCTGCCCAGAACATGTGCATAATCAATGCTGGGAAAATCATTGAGTGTCAGGAAAAATGCACCTTGGACGAAGATGGCGTGTTTGAGGGCCGTTTTTTTTTCTCTGCGGTCTCTGGAGGCCTTCAACAATTCCTGATTAAGTCAAAACTGGGAAACGAGGCGTAATGGGTTATGGTGCAGGTTTGCTTTCTCAGAAATCATGGAATATGCAGACTCCCATATGGCCGCTCACGCGAGAGCCGTGGGGTCAGGCAAAGGTCACGGTACACTGGCGGCAGTTTGGAATAATTAGGATTTTTAAATGTTTTTGAAAGAAGGCTCTTCTGCGCCGCAAGCCTGCATTTATTTGATCAAAAATACAGTAAAAATTGTGAAAATTTTTTACAATTTAAAACAACTGTTTTCTATGTGAATATCTGTTAAAATTTAATTGATTTCTGTGATCAAAGCTGAATTTTCAGCATCATTCAGTAGGGTCTTCAGTAGGGGTGCTCCGATTGATCGGCTACGATCACTATCGACCGATAATCGCTTGGGGATGATTAATCGGCGGTCTCTAAAAAGGCCGATCTCAAAAAAACGATCTCAAGCTGATGACACGCCTGCTGTGAGAGGTTTGGCTCGACATGCAGCGGCACCGTCTCTGTCCGGCACGGGTGAAATAATCATAATGCTGAAGGTGAAATACAGTTCATACTTTTTCATTAAATAACTTATAAAGTAGCTAATTAGAAAACTTTCTGTGAGACATAATTGCACAAACAGCGTGAGTGAATCACCACGCACGCTCTCTCTTTCTCTCAAAATGCGCAAACGGCTTCAAATCAAATCGAGTCTGTCTATAAGCGAGCTGCATGCTGCACAGTTAACACAGGAATTGTCACTTGCACAATCGAGGCAGTGTCGCATCGTCACTAAAGTTTATAAATTGCATTTCTTGATT